ATTCAAAATGGCCAACTGGTGGCCATTTTGTTTTAATGATTGGGCTTCTAGAGCTTTGACTGATTATATGTTCCAATTTTATATATTCGTTATACGTCATGTTATATATATATATATATATATATATATATATATATATATATATATATATATACAAGTATTCAAAATGGCTGATTTTGAATGCTGTTCCAGAGCAATATCTCTCAATATGGACAAGTACTTGTTTGACGGTCAGATACAAATGTCAATCATTTTAATGTTAAAAAATCATATTCCTGACATGGTTATATTCCAGCTATATTACTATAAACAAAACTATATATCTTAAATTTGATAACTAACGGGGACTGTGCCATGCATGGCTTGTATTTTTCAGATTGGATTCAAAATAGCTGACTGGAGGCCATTTTGTTTTAATGATTGGGCTTCGAGAGCCATATCTCTTAAATGCTTTGACTGATTATATTCAAATTTTATATATTCGTTATACATCGTGTTTTATTGCATGATTTTATTTTATTTTATTGCAGCTCCTAATTACTTATTAGTGAGCCCTTGATGTAAAAGGGTAGCAACAAATAAATAAATAAAAAAATGCTACTTGAAATTTTTTTCCAAATATGCATATTTTAACAAATATATAAATAGCAATATTTTCTGTTAATCTGTTTTAGTATTAATAAACAGTATGTGAATTTGTTGGTTCACTGTCAATCTGATTTTTGAGAAAAAAAGTAAAATAATATGTATAGTCCTATTTAGCATTTAGTTTCCATAGACCACAATGAAAGCACATTTTCTCAGTTTTTGATGATTCTAGACATCAAAAAGTACCATGTAAGACACTATTTATCTATTTTTCATCATATGTCACTGAGCAAAATTTTAAGATATTGACATATATGTCCTTGTCATAAGAAACAATGGTAAACTGCTCTAAAACATGATATTTTCACTGTATTTAATCAGTTTTCTCAGAACTGAGTATGGTTACCCCATATTTTTATTTCATCAATCAATACCAAATATACAAAAATAAAGAAAATGACAATAATATTATTTTTACATCTTCTCATTATATATTCTGATTGTTTATTCTATCTTCTATGTTTTTTTTATTCATTTGATAAGTTTTATACTTTTTCATTCCTCATCCCATGTGTGATTTTCTCAATTTTCTTTTTTCTGTGTATGTTTTACAGGGTAATACACATTCAATGGTCTACTTTTACTTTCAGAAAATTGTTTACAAAATTTGTATCATGCTATCAAATCCTAACTCATGAATAGACATTGAACTGTTTCTCAGATTGAAGCCATTGCAAACAGTCTTTGAATGAGCTGCCCCACAAATATTAATCACAAACAGCAGATAAAGATAATTACTGCATCAAAATTGAACAACATCTAGGAAAACTGGAAGGAATCTTTCACAAAAAATTGAACAGAAGAAATTAATAATGATAAAATTGATATAGATGTTTACACTGGCTTCTATAAACTCAGACTTTGCTGGCGATTTTGTCTAGTAGAATATAACACATTTCAAAGGAAAATAAAATTCAAAAATTTATCTACTAGTAAATGTTTTCAAAAGTGAAACAACAAATGTAACTCTGTGAAACAAGCAGTTTTAAAAAATGCACATGCGCATTTCAAAAATGTAAAATCATCTTTTTTGGCCATGGATGGATAATTAACTTAGTGCTGTATGGTTATTGCAAACTAATTTAACATCTACCGGGTAATATCAGTTCAACACGTAACCATGTCGGATAACGTATCTGAAACAATCAATCACTAGAGGGCGATGTTCGTTGGAATTTCATCAGCCCATGACATGCTGTACCTGTCAACTATTATTTGTCGTCACCCCACTAACCTGATAATTTATCAACCTCTTTTTAATGTTCAAGCAATGTATATATTTTATCAAGTGTTAAAAAGGTAATTTTGCTATTAAATATGTAACTTAAAACTCAAGAAAATAAGTAACGTATTATAGAAGTGAATATATTCATTGCCAGCTGTCATAGAAGACACTCTGGACAAGATAGGGAGGTGTCATAAATTGACCCTATTTTGTTATTAACTATTCTTATTAATAGAACAAAATTGACATGAAAATGGAAAAAATGAAATTATGGGGGGAGGATTGTTAAAAAAAAGGAAGCTAGGTGTCAGTAGAAAAACATGGATTTAAGGTGTTGCCAAAAAAAACTGTCTGCGCATTCATAAAAAAATGTCCAGATAGGACACGGCGAAAAAATTGCAGCGACTCTCTTGAACTGGCCCGCTAAGTCCAGATTTACCGTATGACTTGACCTGCTAATAAAGGAGTTTGCAGCCCGCCCCCTATGTCCATTAGTTTAATTTAAACTTTATTTTCCCGATCGACAATGGTTTTAATTAATCTATGCTAATTTGCTCGATATTAGTTCATGATTTACATGATTTTATATATTTAACATGAATAAGTTTGAGTTTGATGACGAATATAAACTTACGAATACACAGTCTAAAAATTCAGCAACAGCAGTCACCTGACTGAACATGAAAGATGGCCAAAACAGGAGGGCTTTTCGTAGCTTTACAGAAATACCCTGTTTCTTTCCAAATCCACTGTACACTGACCGCGTCGTTAAACGAAAGATGTACAACTTTAAGTTTGGTTAGCAAAGACGGATTCGTCAGTTTATTATCTGTCGGCGATAGTGCATTTATTACGCCATTTCTTGAAGATGCCCTTGAGTAAGTAAACCTGTTACCCGGTCAGTAAAGTACAAGGCAATTTTTCCCCAAAACAGAGACAAATCGGAAGAATTCATCTGAGCAGAAGAAAAATGTATGTCTCGATTCGGAGACACTACTGCGTTATTACAGTCTGAGGATGCACAATTTATGGGAGCTGTGTAAACTCTACGTTCATTTTGAGGGAGGGTTATCAATTGTTAAAACCAATTCACTGTGACCACGGATTGTGTTTGCACACAGGGAAAAAGGGGTAAAGTCTCCTGATTGGAAACATATTTTTTATACTTTAATCTAGTTAGTTCAC